TGGGAGAGCGGGGGGGGGACAGGCATACAGACACATATGTGTGGGTAAAATGCCAAGATAAGACAAACTAACAAGGACAGAAAAAAACTATGCCATACTGGGTACCCAGCCTCTGTCCATTCCCTACATCTCCATTCAGGAGACTTAACATCTCCTTGGTCACACTTAGGAATGCTGCCACACTTAGAATGGCAGGGGACCTACACCCAGCCTGGGGCTAGAGACAGCCACAGCCAAGTCTGCACAAAGTAGTTTGTATTCAATACCCTAAAGGATCTGGACTACCGATTCAGTCAAATGACTACAGAGGGTAAAACGATTCTATTAGAAAGAGGAGCTAGGTGTCCTGAAGGCCATCCACTTTCACTGGAGAGAGAATACAAGTGGAGGTTGTCAGGTCTGCACGGCCAGGGCCTTTACCTGATAGGACATCTCATGGGTCCATGGTGTCTGTTTTAGCTAATAAGATTTTTTTTTCCTACAAAATCCCCTTGATTTTGTCAGAAACATACTGATGGATAATCTAATATGGAAACATTGTAATTTTTTAGGATTATTCCTCTAATGATCTGACAAAAGGTAAGAGGAAGTACTTTATAGAAAAAAGTATGGCATGCTTTTGTTTATGTGTATGTGAGGGACAGAGTGACCTTGGGTGACCATTTTTCAGGCATCATCTACCTTGTTTTTTGAGACTGGGTCTCTTACCGGGACCTGGTACTTGCCAAGTAGGCTAGGCTAGCTCAAGCCCCAGGGTTCTTCCTGACTCTGCCTCCCCAGTACTGAGATTCAAGTGTGTACCACCATGCCTGCTGTTTTTTTAAGCATAGATTGTAGGGGTTGAACTTGAGTCCTCATGCTTGTGTGGCATGAACTTTACCAACCCAGCTATCACCCCACTCCTCATCAGCTTACTTATAACCCTGTAAATACTAACTGGAGGGATGTTGGGTAGTCATTAGAGTGCTACCTCCCACAATGTGGCCTTTCAGTTAAGGAACCCTAATTTAGAAGGAAGAGCACAGATACCCTGACCTTTTAGCTGTTCCAGGCTTGTTTGGTTGTGTGTGTGTGTGTGTGGGGGGCAGGCTAGAGTCTGATACAGGGTATCACTAATTACTGAGGTGAGAGGTCTTTCAAATGAATCCTGAGCATGCTGATTTGGCTAATCTGACTGGCTAGCTTGCTCTGTAGGGTCCTTCCCCCTCCCCTCAACACACACATACTCAGCTACTGGCCATATAGCTCAGGCCACCATGCCCATCCAGCTTTTACATGGATGCTAGGAATCAGAATACCCACTGATTACCCAGAGTCACCTCCTCAGCCCTCCTGTCCTTTTTATTTGAAAGTGTGGCCCTGTGACATAAGGGATGGTGTGCTCAGTGCATAAGGGGCATCCAGCGAGAATGCATTTGAGGGGAACAGCAATGTTTTCCAAGATCCACTACCAGGGATCATTATAACCTGAAGACACCATCACTTCATTTACATAGTGAAATGTCAAGGACATTTCAGGGACTAAAGTTGCCTCAGGGAGAACACAGCTTTACCTTAGGGATAAGAATAGCTTTGTAAAGATGCACAGGTATATGGCTTTAAAAATCCAGAGTTTTGGGTTGTTACTTTTTTTAAAGAGCAGGTGAGAGTGGTGGCTTGTCACAATGTAGTGTCTGTCTGTCTCTGATACCTGAAAATACACAAAGCATTTGATAAAAAAAAAAAAAAAAAAAAAAAAAAAAAAGGATTATTCTTTGAACCTGTGACAGGGAAAATCGGTCCTGTTGGTTCAAATGCCTGGTTGGCCACAAAATCACACGGAGATTCTCTCTTCTTCATTTTGGTGACATTTAAACAGCTGTCAAAACCTGCAAGAAATTCCAAAAGGTAAGCCCTTAAAATATTTTTTCCCTTGCTAAATTATCATACAGAATAAATATCGAGGAGGAAGGAAATGATGTAAAAAACCTTCACTTCTGGGCAGAGATATAGCTCAATGGCGATGTATTGTTTTTAACAGTACAATGACTGCAGGTTCAATATCCAGCATTAAAAATACATTTAAAAACAAAAAGCCAGGCATGACGGTACACGCCTTTAATACCAGCCCTAAGAAAGCAGAGGCAGGTAGATCTCTGGAGATTCAAGGCTAGCCTGGTCTACATAGTGAGTTCCAGGAGAGCCAGAACTACATGGAGAGACCCTGCCTCAAAAACCAAAATAAACAAATACATATAAACAAATAAGCAAATAAATCATAACTTCAAATAATGTCAGTATTTTGTTGCTGTTAACCTATGACCAAAGGAACGGGGTTATCTTGAGAAGAAATACTAGCATAAGTAGATAGAACACAATGTTGTAGTTTTTACTAGTTGTAGTTTTTACTGAAGATTAAAAAAGGGGGCTGGGCTGGGCATGGTGGCTCATGCTTTTACTATCAGCACTTAGGTGAGTTCATGGCCAGCTAGGATTGTACAATGAGACCCTGTCTAAAACCCTGTAAAAAAAATCCCCATGTAACTTATAAATCACAAAGTGAAAGGGGTGGTAGTCCTCTGTTAATCTGATTATTTTTCCCTCAGCTCTCAGTTCACAAACATTGGTTGTGCAATGACGAGCAGCTTAAACATGGACCCAGTGGCAGAAATGGGTCTCTGGGGAAATGTGACCAAACAGAGGTGAATTTCACACTTCTGAAAAGACATCTCTTTGCTGGACTCAAAGGAACCTCACTACTGTATTCACACTCAGGCAGAACTGCCTCATGAGCTATGGGACTACTGACTAGTCAGTGACACCCAAGAAAGCTCCACAAGATGCTGTTTCCCTTATGATCCTAAGGCTACATTTTACAATATTAATCTCAAGTAAATGACTTATGCTAAACACTTCTTCCTGGTAAATAAAAACTTGATTCTTTAAAAAGATGATAGTATGTTTTATTATGAATTTAGTTCCAAGTTCAGTGTACCCCAGGTGAGCAAGAATACTCTAGAAGATACGGACTTTCAAAGTGAGCCCACATGGGTGTGTGAGCTGACACAGACACAGTGCAACCCCGGACCTCTACACACCTAGGCAGAGTTTTCTTGTCTACTTTCTATTTGGGGAAAGTAGCTCTAAGACTGCAGAGGCACGCTGTATATTCTTGGCACACGCCGGCAGGGAAGATGGGCCCAATGGACTATAGAACCTTGTTTCCCAGGTGCTCCTTTCTTAGTCCCAGGCTGTCATACCCCTTCTGCTCCTTGCTCGTTCTCTCTGCCTTGTCCACAGGGACACTCCCATCCTGGCTCCCCATTTTCCCTGTACCCAGGGTGAAGCCTTTCCCCCACTTTGGTTCATCTTTATTCCTTCTGGAAAACCTGGCAAACTCAGAGTGAATGCTGTGCTTCCTGCAACCATCTGGGTGACATCTTGGAGTTTCAGGTTCTTTCTCTCGAAATCTTTTGTCCCTTTGCTCTTTATCACTGCCATCCTGTAACCTGTGAGTCAATACAAACGGTCAATAACTAACTGGAGGCAGGTGGCTGATTACCTGTCTCCCTTCCAGACTCTGAATGGGGTGTGTGGGTGCTGCTGAGTTTAGCAGTAATGAGCTCACAGCAAACTTCTAACCAAATATGGACAAATAATATCTGCCACTATATCTGAATGACAAGTACATAATGACGTAATGCTGAGGTATGTAGATACATTGTCCCAACTCTCCCAATGATTCCCATTTTACAGCTGAACTAAATGAGTGTCATTCCTAGGGCCCCAGACACATGTCTGTGATGCTCCAAGCACAGCCAAATGAACTGAAGTTGAATAATGCCTGGTAGACTAGTTCATGTGTATCAAAAGGTTAAATGAATAGCGAGTAAGCATATGGCTACTTGGTTTTTTGGTTTTTGAAGTCTGTGCCTCCTTGAACCATGGGTATGAGCCACCACCATATTCCCTCTGTGGCTTATCCCCATGGAAGGCCTGGGAACAAGTGAGGACTATATGACAATAAAAACAGGTACTGTTGTACCATAAACAATGACACTAAAATACTACAACACAAACCAAAGTGTAAAGATTACAAAGTTGTGATCCAACAAGTGGTAGAAACCCTAGGTCGGGCAAGCCTGGATGAGCATGGCAGATTTGATACTCTGGGCAAGAGGTTATGCCTGCCAGCTTCCTGGCTGAGCTCTTCTCATGAAACCATGCCATGAGCAGGTAAAGATAAAGCGGCAATATCAACAGAAGACAGAGCTAAGGAGAGGAATTACAATACTTGAGGCCTATTGCTCCACCACAAAAACAAAACAAAACAAAACCAAAGCAAACAAACAAAAAAACTCCAAACTGGCCAGCCTTAAAAGATGGGACTCTGAAATCAGAAGTTGTAGGTAACTGAAATTTAATCACAGATAAACTGTAGAGGGCTGGGATAAAAATGGGTGGGAAATCTCAAAATACAAAGGAAAGTAGTAAGTAGGTATGAATCATACAGAAAGAAAGACTCGGAAGGCAGACCCTGGAGATGTAAGTCCAGAAAGAAAGTCTTATGGAGGAAAAGAAAGAATTGACAATTAAGGAAGCAAAGGGAACCATCCCTAATTTGAAGAGCTACTTGAGACTGCTGACTCAATGCATACATACTAAACTCCTGGCATGGTCAACAGAAACACACATGCTAGCATATTCTGGCAGAATTCTCAGACTCCAAGGGCAATGTGGAGAGTGCACATTGCACAGATGCTATGAGGCCACACTGGGGGAAGGGAGTAATCATGGAAACAAGAGCATCCTCACCTCTCAGCAGGCGTCTCCGGCAGGCTTTCCACTGGCCAGGCTTCCTGCTTTTCGTCTCCAGTACTGACTGAGTCACCTCTTTCTCTGGGTTTCTCTGTGGTTGCTTCTTCTGTTTCCAGCTTTTTAAGAAGCTGAGAAATTATAATGTTAATAAAATATTACTCAATGTTGTATTATAAAAGAAATTGTTAAGTAATTAAAAATATATACCAATATTGACCTCAAATGTTTAAATAGTAAAGGAATTGTTGTAGATCCAAAAATCAAAAACAACCCCCACCCAGCTGTTTTGGGTTCAATACATATGATACTATCAATAAAATATGTACAATCATGAAAAATGATGTAGGACTGTTAAAATAATGGCATCCAATTTAACAAAAGAACACTATTAAACAAAATGTGTACGATGAGCCAATTTTAATTTACATGTAAGTACCCACATATACTGCTAACAGAGCCAAATTCTGAGAAACACCTTAGGTTGTTTTGTCCTTGTGCCAACATTAAAGTGTCCTTACATAAAGTCACTCACTATACAAGTTAATTTCAAAGTCATTGTTACAGTTTGAGTATTAAATTTTCCCCAAAAGTTCATGTGTTAAACCCTTAATCTCTAGCTAGTACTATTTTGGAAACAGGTCACTAGCAGCATGCCCTTGGAAGCTCTATCATGCCCTGTGTCTTCCTTCTTTGTCCTCTAATTCCTGTCTATAGGGCAGTGAGCCACCACATGAACGCACACCCTCATGTTCTGCCAAGCCATAGGCACAGGAGGAGTGCAGCCAGGGTTTATCAACTGAAATCCTTGAAACTATGAACCAAAACAAACCTGTCTCCATTTGTTACTATCAGGTATTCTGGCTATGGCTGCATAAAAGTCATTAGTACAAGAAAGAAAGAAAAAAATGGTACTGGAGAGTGGGGTCATGGCCATAGCTGACCCTGACAATGTGGTTCACTGGAACTTGTTTGGAAACATTTGGAGATGCAGGCTAGAAAAGCCCTAGAATGTCACTGGCCCACAGGACAATTCTAAAGCTGAGCATGGAGGTTAATGTCTACAATTACAGCATTCAGAAGGTTGAGACAGAAGGACTACCAGGAATATACGGAGCCTGTGATACACAGTGAGGGCAAGCCCAACCTGAGCTTTTGAGACTCTGTCTTAAACAAAACAAGCCAACAAAAACAGTGGCTAAGGACTTGCAGCTCAATCAGTAGAGTGCTTGCCTAGGAGGTGAAATGACCTGGATTTGGTCCTCAGCACAACGTAAACTTGTGCTGGCATAATCTCAGCACTCGGGAAGCAGAGACAGGAGTTTAAGTTCAGTCTCAGCTACATAGTAAGTTTGAAGCCAGCTTGGGATACATAAGACCCTGCCTCTAAATGAGTGAAAATGAATGAATAAATAAATGAATCTTAAAAGTAATTTAATGGGGCTGGAGAGATGGCTCAGAGGTTGAGAGCATTGACTGCTCTTCCAAATGTCCTGAGTTCAATTCCCAGGAACCACATGGTGGCTCACAACCACCCATTATGAGATCTGGTGCCCTCTTCTGGTGTGCAGATATACATGGAAGCAGAATGTTGTATACATAATAAATAAAATCTTTAAAAAAAAAAAAAGTAATTTAATGTCATCTGCAGATACACAGTGATTTCAAGGCCAGCCTGGGCAACATGAGACTCTGTCTCAATAAGAAAAAATAAAAATGAATAAAATAACATAGGATAATGCTGGGGGCATAGCTCAGTGACAGGCACTTGTCTAGGGTACAACAGGCCCTGGGTTCAGTTCCTAGTACTAAAAAACAATAAATAAACAAAGAGCCATAAAGGACAATACCAGGGGGAGTGTGGATGACTAGAATGCCAACAGGAAGGCACAGAGCTCGAATGGAAATAAGATCACAAGCTACCTGTGTTAGTTGCTGGCAGACTGTTTACATTTGTCCAGGTCCTGACACTTTGTGGGAGGCTGAGTTTAAAAGTAATGAACTAAGTAATCTGACGGAGGAAATTTCAAGACAGCATAGTATTCAGTATATGCCATGGTTACTGCTTGCTTCTTTTAACCAGATTTACAGTGGGAATTGAGGGGGGGGGGGACAAAACAGAAAGACTTGAAAATTCTGTAGCCTGGTCAAAAAAGTCATTGTAAAGTTGGGACTAAGGAAGGTATAGTTTCCGAAGGGATTAGCACTTATTGGGTATGGGTAGTGCTTTAGTCCCAGCACTCAGAAGGCAGAGGGGCAGAGAGACAGAGAGACAGAGAGGCAGTGGCAGAGGCAGGCAAATCTGTTTACAAAACACAGTTTACAAAGCGAGTTCCAGGATAGCCTGGAAAAAACTGGATATGAGGGTGAAACCTATGGGTGCTGCCTAGTGCTGAGCCTCAGATGTGAGTCTGAGTTCTGAGTTGCTGAGGCAGGTCACAGAGAAGCCGGGCAGGTAGTTCTCAGGGATGTGTTTTTACTCAGGAAAATCTAAGGCAGGGGACCCTTCGGGTCCTGTGACCCATTCGGCATTGGGAGGCCAGAGCCTCAGGCCTGCTCCCACCTCAGCACACACAGGTTGTATAAAGATGCTTCGTCCCAGGTAACGCCTGAGGCCACTGTTGTAGAATGGATAAAGAACTGATAAAGGGCTCAATTAATTGAAAATGCTTTATGATTTTAAAGAGTTAAAATACTTACATGGCACAATCACTGTAAGAACTACACTCTGGAGGAAAAGAATGTTTCCTCAAAATTACCTTAATCTTCACTTCCTTCTCGGTTCTCTTCTGTCTATCCGCCTCTTTCCTTTTACACCTCTCCTCCTCTCTCCTTTTCCTCTTTTCTTCTTCCCGCAAACGCTTCTTCTCTAACTCCCTCCTCCTCCGCTCTTCACGCTTCTCTTCTCGAATTCTCTGAAGGTACAGCCAAATAAATACATAGTAAATTTTGTGGATGGAAACAGCGGGCACAGGATATTCACCAGGTAAGGCATCACCTACCTGTTTTTCTAGTTTTCTATTTTTAATATATTCCAAAAGAGGTGTGGTTCTTCTGGCTAAAGAACAAAAATTGTCATACATTACATATCACTTCTAACTTGAAATTTATTTTAGATACTGTTTCCAATTTAATATTAAAACAATTAGGGGAAAAAATTAGGGGAAGACTATTATCTGTAAAATTTATATGAGCATGCACTGTGCCAAGGGGCATTCTTACTCTACTCTATCATTACAAATTCAAGTAATTTGCATACAGCGGGCATGCCATTCTTTTAAACTTATTAATATATATCAATTATATACAATAATGGGTCATTATGACATTTTCATACATGTATATAATGTATTTTGATTACATGTATACTCTGTGGCCCACACTTGACCCCGCCTGATCCTGCAGGCCCCTTTCTCTTCTCAGCCAACCCTCCTGCTTCCACGGTCTACCTTCCGTTTTTTGTTGTTTGATGACTGTTTATAGGACTATAGGTAAGCGGTTATTTACAGGAGCACAGGCAACAGTGAAGAAAAAGACACATGATTCTTTTTCTTAAAGTAGTCATAATATTTACATATTTACTTTGATGCCATGCAAGCTATCAGATGTTTTGCTTTTCCACTTTTTAGTGTTTTTTTTTTAAAGGTTTATTTAGTTTTACTTTATCTATATGAGTATTCTGTCTGTATGCATGTCTATGTACTATGTCTAAGCCTGGTGTCTGTGGTGGTCAGAGCAGGGTGCCAGATTCCCTGGAACTGGTTAGCAATGGCAGTGAGCAGACAGTGCTCTTAACCACAGAGCCATCTCTCCAGCCCAGTAATACAAAGTCTTTAACACATGCCACTCTATATGCAATTAGACATCTGCTCATCTTAGACCTCTGGTCTAGTTCTTTTTGCCCCTTAGCGCCCTCACTCCTCTGTCTACCATCCCCTTCTTACCCAATATCTGACCTCTAAAACAGATGCTCAGCAGACTACAACAGCTGCTCCTGGGGAACAAGAGCCACTGCCAGTCCCTTGCTTCACCGTTCGCTTTGGACAGAACAATGATTCCATTCCTTGGAAGGAATCCAGGGCTCAGGTCTCAACACTAGAGTTTCGGACATCTCTTCAATTACACAAGCTTACATTCTGTTCCTATAGAGCTCTAGACTCTACAGTCCGTTTATTCACCATACGTTCAATTTCTAATTGTCTCTTTGCTGCAACAACAAAGATGAAAATATAGTTCCACCGTGGAAGTGGAGACTAACAAACCAATTATACCTGAGCTGTTATACAAGTCTAGACAAGTGAGCAGAACATATAAGGGGTGCCAGGCCATGAGAAAAGGGTTTTGTTTTTTAAAATCTTTACTTTATGTTTCTGGGTGTTCTGCTTGCATGTATGTTTGCGCACCATGTGTGTGCAGCACCCACAGAGGCCAGGAGACAGCACTGGATCTCCTGGTACTGGAGTTATAGATAGCTGTAAGGTACCCTTTGGGTGCTGGGAAGCCAACCTGGGTCCTACTGAAGAGCAACCCATGCTCTTAACCTCCAAGTTATCTCTCCAGCCTCCTGAGAAGAGGTTTCCTGGTGCCAGGAGACAGACATTTCTAAATACACCACTCTAGGAGGAAGCATGAAGGGAATTCAAGCAGACCCCAGACTCGAGCTGAAACATGGGTGACGATAACCTGTAATTTTAGTCGGGGAGAAGTCACTTACGTAAGAAACAGATGACCCACAAGTTCCAGCTCCAAAGATCCACACCCAGGCTGCTGTCTGTGACCTGACTGGAACCAAGAGAGCGAGCTGGGGTCCAGGACCCCAGACGTAGCCTTCCCCTGTCACATCCGCACCTGTGACCATGCCTAAACAGGTGTGGTCAGTGCAACAGGTGCAGGCGGGGTGGATATCTCACTACAATTCCCCTTTTAGTCTAAAGAAAAGATGTAGACTTGATACAGAACTATATATAAAGATAGCAAATATCAAGTATGCACTAGGAGAAGGAAATGTAAGAACATACGCCCTTAAGACCTATTGCCAGTGAAGCAACAAGAGCAAATGGCAAGAAATACATATCCAGTTCTAGGGTAAAAGCATAACAGAGATTGCTATAGAGTTGTCCTAAGCTGGCAAGCTTAAGTCTTGTACCTAAAATTTCTATCTAGGAAGAGAGAACAATAATTGTGACAGTCTAATCTTCAGCCTCATCAAAGACCTGAGAAGGAAGATAGCAATACTAGGGCAGGCAGGAAGTGCAGGAGGGCAACTTCCAAAGGTGCAGCGAAGACAGAAACATTGGGCTACCTGGACAGTCACCTAAAGTCTCAAAGCAACATAAGGGCAACCAGCTTTGGCTAAGGCCTAGAGTATCAGAATGACCAACACAGAAGCAGGGAAGTTGAAAGGCTATCTTACCCTGACTTAGCAAGGTTCAGCAGTCTTCTAAGTTTTATCTCCTGTAAACACAGTAGGACAGCATGTCCAAAGTCAGCGGTCAAGGTGGGGGCAGTTCTTTGCCCAAGAGGCCATTAGCTGAGGAGAACAGACTCCAGGAGTGACATCAGTGCTCAACATACTCTCAGGAATAGCTCGGTGCTGTCAGGAGCAATTGTGTCTCATATCAACGGAATACTAATATTAAAACATTTAAATGCCATATTCTGCAAGTCTATGAAGTGTTTGAATATCAAAATCTATGTCTGACTAATGTCATAGGTATAAGAAACATGGGTGATGATAATCTGGCTAGCTTCCTTGGAAGGCTTGCTCTGACCCAGCCAAGACCATACATTTGTCTTTGGAAGCATAATCGCTTTAAATGAAGACCCCTAAAAACATCTCATCAACAAAGGCTCAAAAACATTTCTCCACCTCATCACTCCTGTGTCGAAAGTACAAAATACTGTTTCTATCAAGCCTGTAACAAAAAGAAATTTTACCACTGCCTTGAAAAAAGGAGAGTTAAATACATACTCCATTAGTAAGTATCTCAATAAAGAAATGAGGAAGACAGACCAAGGAGTTCTCTTGTCTTCACTTCTATCTCTCCCAAAAGTGTCTCGGGACTAGCACTGGTTTTTTCTTCCTCCAGACTGTATGTTTCCAGAAACTGTTTATATTCTGGGTCTGTAAATTCAAAACAGAATGAGTAAACGAATAAATGAATGAATGCATCCCCCTTCCACCTAACAGGCAATGTTTGGTCAGCACATTACATCAGCCTTTGAAAAGGTCTCACCATCTTCAATGCTTCCAGTCTTGGCATCTTTCTTCCTCGGCTTCTTTTTTGCAATCTTCTGGAATGGAGCAAACTCCACCACTGCAGGGTACTCCAGGCCTTTGGTGGAGACATATTCCATACATCATTATGAAACTCTACTATACCCACTTTGGGAAACCATTATCTGACTCCTATGGAGCTAAAGCATGATGACAAGGTAACTGCTCTGGCAAGGAAGCAAGTCTTACTACACAACATGGTTCTGTGGGGTCATTTCACAACCCCAAACTGCCCACTTTAAAAAGGGAGGAAACCCAGCTACTCCATATCACTTCCAAATAATTATGAATGGAATATCACCAGTCACTTTTGTTTTGTTGTTGTTTTTTTTATTTTTTTTATTTTTGTTTTTTTCAAGACAGGGTTTCTCTTCTAGTCAGTTTTTGCTGTTTTGTTTTAGTTACAGTCAAGTATTTTTATTTCTTTTTTAATTTTTTTATTTTTATTTTATTTTATTTTTTTGTTTTTCGAGACAGGGTTTCTCTGTGTAGCTTTGGGGCCTATCCTGGCACCCACTCTGGAGACCAGGCTGGCCTCGAACTCACAGAGATTCATCTGCCTCTGCCTCCCGAGTGCTGGGATTAAAGGCGTGCGCCACCAACGCCCGGCTACAGTCAACTATTTTAAAGGATTTTTTTTTTTTTTTAAAATGTGCACTGGTGTTTTTGCCTATGTATATGTCTGTGTGAGTATGTTGAATCCCCTGGAACAGGAGTTACAGACAGTTGTGAGCTGCCGTGTGGGTACTGGGAATTGAAACCAGGCCCTCTGGAAGAGCAGCAGTGCTTTTAACCACTGAGTCATCTCTCCAACATCAATTATTTTAATTTCAAGATGTTATGGGCTTCAGAAGGGTTAAGAGTCTATGACCTTCTTGCATAGGACCTGGGTTTGGTTCTAATCACCTTACATTAGGTGACTCACAAACACCTGTAACTCCAGTTCCAGGGAATCTGATGCCCTCTTCTAGCTTCTGAGGATACCTGCACACACATGGTATACATACATGCACTCAGGCATGCACACATACAGACACCTAAAATAAAAATAAAAATAAAAATTTAAAAAGAATTAATGTTAAGATACCAATTCAACTACTAAAGTGTTATTTAAGTTCCAGGAAATTACTCTGCTTAAAAGAAACATAGGGCTAAAGGGTTTGGAGACTTCAAGGACTCATGTTATCGTCTATGTAAGGTTTGTTTTGAACAAAGGTGAATAAGAAAGCAGCAGGGACCCATTTTGTTGTTATATGGAAAGGAAGATGAACACATAAAGACATGTTCTCTGTTACTAGGCTTTAACCAACACACGCACCTCTGAATTAAACCACTGAGCTGTTATCACTTTATAAGTCGAACTTACTTAGAATACATTTTGTGCTAACCTCAACAACTGTGCAGAATGAAGACAGGAATACAGGTGTACACACACAGGAGTGTACACACACAAATTGTACATACACACATAGACAGTGTACACACACACACACACACACACACACACACACACACACACAGGAGTGTACATACACACAGAGACACCAAGGACCTCACCTTTATTGCCAATGAAGATATATCCATCAAAGCGGTCTCTGAACAAAAGGATGTCATCGGGGTTCCGAAAATTAATGTATGCTCTTGAGTAGAGATGAGGATAGAGACTGAAATATGAGGTAACAATAAAAAACGTTAAAAATAAAACTGCATGACTACCTTAGTTTTGCCTTGTTTGCCTTTTATTAATACAGAAAATACTTTTCACGCCAAAGAATCACTTCTTAGCTAATTATAGCAATCTGGATATTCTTTAGTAAAAAACAAAACAAACAAAACCATTCACTGAGGTCTTGACTACTCAGGAGCATCTCTAATGTACATAAACCAGTTTAAAATGCTAGACTTCAGCCAGACAGTGGTGGCACATGCCATCAATCCCAGCACTCCAGAGGCAGAGGCAGGCAGATCTGTGAGTTCAAGGCCATCCTGGTCTGCAGAGCGAGGTCCAGCCAGGGCTACACAGAGAAACTCTGTCTCAAAAAACAAACTAATACTAGACTTCAGAAGTTACCCAAAGGCCATGGACATTTTTAGTCATTCCTGGTACATCAAGAACAAGACTAGCCTTAGCTCCTTCATGGATGAGAATGTTGTACTATGAGGTTCTTTTCGGATGCATTGGTACCTAGGAAAAATGAAATCATTCTCCCTGTCTGAGCCATACTTATTTTCACAGGTGGGAACTCTTCAATTCCATTTCACAGAGAATAGTAAAGGTCAGAGAAGTTTGTTCATAGGAGGGCGAAAGTTATAAGGAGGGGCTGGGATTGTACCCTGAGTTTTAACTTTTTCTAAACCTCAGTCACCTGAAAACCACCTGCTGTTTTCAAATGATACCTGTTTAGCAATTACTTATATTTTTAATTGAAGACTCTTTTTTACAAAAATAGGCATCCAAAAAGAAATTGTACGCCGGGCGTTGGTGGCGCACGCCTTTAATCCCAGCAGAGGCAGGTGGATCTCTGTGAGTTCGAGGCCAGCCGGGTCTCCAGAGCAGGTGCCAGGATAGGCTCCAAAACTACACAGAGAAACCCTGTCTCGAAAAAACAAACAAAAAACAAAAACAAAACAAAAAAAAGAAATTGTATACGACATAAATGAGAACATAAAAGGGCACAAGAAGTAAAAATCGTGAAAAATCACGAATCCTAAAGGCACTGACGTCTGCTGGTTAGGCCAGCCCTGTGCTGCTGCAGTCACCTCAGGCAGAGAACCTGTCTGACTGGGTGGTGGTGCTGACAGTGGCAATTCTTCCGGGCTCAGCTACAGGTCCTTCACTAGCGAAAACACTCCAGACTTGGTGTATAAGGGATGCACTCTGGTTTTTCCCATCACACAATTTATTAAAAGCTACGTGGAGGAAGAAGGCACAGAAGCATAAAGGATCAAAAAGCGCGGTGTCACCGGCGCACCACGGTTCTGCACAGAGTGACACGGTGGCTTGCCCATCCATAACGTGGGCGTGCACTGACATCCGGAAGGGGAACAGACTGCGGTTGTGATCGCCGCCGGGTCCTCAGTCCGTCCGTCCCGTGTGTCCCGCGGCAGCCCTCACCTGAGGTCCGCAGCTACCACCTCGAAGTAATCGTGCGCAGGCAGGGGGCGCAGTTGCTCTTCCAGCTGCTCTTTGGTGAGGCCGGGGGGCAGCCGCCGGAGGACCACCTGGGAGGACCATGGCTAATCATTTAGCTGCTGCGGCCCGCTCCGCCCCGACCATCGGGCGGCGAGCTCGCAGCACTAGGGAGACGCCGCCGCGACTCCAGCTCTAAGGCGAGCACGCCGCGCCGTCCCCCTCAAGCTCCGCCCGCCTCGGGCTGGGAGCCGTCGTCTCGCGAGAACGGCTGACCCCGCCCCCACGGGGATCCGAGGCTCGGCGCCCACCTTGCTTAGGGCCGTCCTCTTCTCCTCGCGAGGCTTGCCCGCCCCGCTGTCACTGAAGGACTGGGTTGGGGCCACTGCGGTGTCCCTCCGCGGCGACTCGCGGCGGAACGGGACCTCCGGAGCCGACAGTTTCTCCCTCCAGCTGGGGCCCCGCGCAGACAGAGCCGTGCCCAGGCCTCCGGCCCCCTCCTCCCAACCCATCCCCACCCGCCGCCCGCCCGCCTCCTCCTCCTCCTCTTCCGCGACAACGAAGCCTCGCGAGGACTAGGCGGCCCCTCCCTTGGCATTCGATGTCCTGCGTCCCCTCCCCGGCCCTGACGGGGGAAAGGGAGGTGCCGGTGCTGCCAGAGCCGGTGGGGGGCAGCACTGAATGCTCACAGTGCTCCTAGTTGACACGTGTGCTCAGAACAGCCTTTTCCACAAAAAAACCTCAGCATCCTACAACAGCGACGACAGGAAATCAGTGCTGTCTCACTGTGCATGCAAAACAAATGCACGCTCCTCCGGACACCCTATGGCCTGCGGGCCTGCGGTGTGGATGGCATCCGGGGTAGTCTAGGACTGGGAGGTCTCAGGGGCCCAGAGCGATTTCTGGCACCACTCAGAGTCGCTGGGACAGCACCGCAACTAAAAACATTTTTCTTTAATAGACGTAGAAGCGGCACAGTTTTCCTATGTGCTCAAATTTTACTTCTTCACTGTTGGCTGTAGTTTTTTAGTTACAGCACCTTTGTCCTGAGAGAAAGAAATGTCAGAAATGTGGAGATTTACTTTTAAGTGCATCCAGGCTTCACAGTGACTCCTGTTTTGACTCTCTTGAAATGTGACATTTTAAATAGGCTAAAGACTCAAAGAACACATGCCAAGGCCTCAAGCATCAGTGTCAGGGCCCCACATATGGCCCTTTATAGCAGACTGGGCCAGGAGTGTCACAACTTTTTTTATTTTTTTGGATTTTCGAGACAGGGTTTCTCTGTGGCTTTGGAGGATGTCCTGAAACTAGCTTTTGTAGACCAGACTGGTCTCAAACTCACAGAGATCCACCTGCCTCTGTCTCCCAAGTGCTGGGATTAAAAGTGTGCACCATCACTGCCAGGCTGAGTGTCTCAACTTTTAACACATTTTTAAAGAGGGACTTTTACGGTTGTACTGTTTTTTTTGTTTTGTTTTGTTTTTTGGTTGTACTATATTTTATATTGTAGTATTAACATCTTGGAGGATAAACTAGGAAAGGTTATGGTTTAATGGTGATGTGTGTCAAGTTGGTAAGTGGTCAGCTGCACTGGTTAGTTTTTATGAACTTGACAAAAACTAGAGTCACATGGAAGAAGGGAACCTTGATTGAGGAATGGCTTCCATCAGATTAGCCCAAGGGGCAGTTTCTTGATTAATGATTGACCTGTGAGGGTTCAGTCAACTGTGTGCAGTGCCATCTCTGGGCAGGTGGTCCTGGGTTGCACAAACAGGCAAGCTGAGGAAGCCATTAGGAAACTGTGATCCAAATATATGAAAGAAATCTATTTTCCAAAAAATTAAGATTATTAAAATAAACAAAAAAACTTATGTATTTCTTAACACAAAATTACAAAGCACAGGAAAAATCTGGAAGATATGGTTAACACAGGGGGAAAAATATTGATAAGAACTGAGGAAGGCCAGACATAAAATTACTAGCCAAAGATGCCAATCGACCATATGAAATCTGTTCAAAGGGCTAATGGAAATCACAAAGACGTTAGGAATGATGCATGAATAGAGAACCCACAGGGAGTCATTGTTTTGAGTGCTTATGGTTTTTGTTTTCTTTTTTTTGGGGGGGGGGGTAACTCAAGACAGGGTTTCTTTGTGAAACACTCCTGGCTGTCCTGGAACTTGCTCCGGAGACCAGGCTGGCCTGGAACTCACAGAGATCTGCTTGCCTCTGCCTCCTGAGTCCTTGGATTAAAGGTTGTGGACCACCACTACCTGGCTTGCTTTTTGTTTAATTTCTGTAAAAGGAACAGACACTGTGGAACTGAAAAATATAACTGCTCAAATGTGAAAATTCACTTGGGGGCACTCAGGACAGAACCAGTGCTATACCAGTGTTCCTATGGGAAGATGTGAAGTAGAAACAGAATCTCCAGAAGCTTGTGGGCCTGCTGGCCTAGTGTAACAGCAGTAAAACAGATGTTGTTTCTACCAAGATGGAAGGTTGAGGACTGACATTCACAGTGGCACATAGTATTCCTGTTTTCATACAATGAAATGCACTTGCCACATATGTGCACACACAAACTAACACACACTCATTTACAAGAGTAAATATGATTATTTTAAGAGATTTTACTCTCATTGAGCTTTACCTAGGTTGTGATGCATTGTCTAGCATAGATGTGGGATATTTGTACACTGTGTGAAAATGTATTGTTCTGTTGCTGTAATAAAAAGCTGAACAGCCATTAGTTAGAAAGAGGTTAGGTGGGACTGTGGAAGACAGAAGACACTGGGAAGAAAGGCAATTGTCACCCAGATGCAGAGGAAGCAGCATGGCCAGTTTGGAGAGAGAGGGTAACAAGCCATGCCACAGAACATGGATTAAGGTAATATTTGGGTTGATTCGAGTTGTGGGAGCACCATGGTGGAACAGGTCTAGGCTGGGGCTGAGCTTTTGTAATGATGGGTTTCTGTGTTGTTGTGAGCTGGCAGCTTAAAGAAAAGTCCAATTACACATAGATGTACTTTAAATAGACACAGTTGAAAGGAAAATAAAAAAAAATGTTCTTGTAAACAACAGTTAACAGCTGGATGAGTATCAGCCAAGATAGTTATCAGCGAGACATTATGTTATTTATTAAGTGCATCTCTGTGTGGTTTCACACCTTGGAGAAGGCAGTTCCTTTCACCATGTGAATTCCAGGGACTGAACTAAGGGTCTTGGTAGCAAGACCTACATAACATGGGCCTACTTCTTATTTTTATTTAAAAATAGGGTCTCACTAATATAATCCTGGCTGTCCTGGAACTCACTACATAGACCTGGCTGGCCCCAAACTCGGAGATATACCTGCCTCTGCCTCCAGACTGCTATAACAAGAAGAGAACCTTGGGGAAAACTAGAGTATAACCTTGCAGAGGAAATGTGTCACCGGGGCAGGCTTCGGAAGTATTTATCCTCCATATACTTCCAGTTTCACTCTTCGTCATGCTTGTGGTTGGGATGTGATAACCTTCCAATCCGGTTAGCTACCATGCGTGCCTGCTGCTTGCTTCTCTAGCACAATAAAGTTCATCCCTCTGAAACTGCAAGAAACAAACTCTTCTTTTAGCAAGTTGCCTTCATAGAATTTTATTACAGCAACAGAAAGGTAACTGATACACTCTACTATGTTGGAAATGGTTTCCCAAAGTCTTTATTGAAAAAGAAAAACACAATGAACATTTTGCCATCTTTATTTGACTATGTATAACTACTTTGTAGATTCAGAATATCAGAATATATCTGCTGCCAAGGTGTGCTAACCCATCTCTTAATTCAGGCCACTGGTCCTCAACATAGAAATGTAGTTTGGACTCACCTTAGGAAGTGGGAAATTCTAAGACTAGCAAGGATATAAGGGAATACTGACCTACAAATATAAGCGTGGGGGGGGGGTGGGTTCTAGACCACTGTCTTGAGTTAGGTGCTGTGGTCTGACATAGATGTCTCTAACATCATGTCGCTTTCATTCATTTCAATTTCAAAAGTTTCTTCCAAGGGAGGTCTGGAGTCTGGAGTTTTAGTGGAGTTTTCCAGAGGTGCAAGCCCTGCTTCCTCTGTGTTTGGCTTTTCTACTTCAAAGTCCCTGAAATCCCATGGAGGGGAGATGATGTTTTTTAGTGTCTTCATTGTATGCACATCAAAGTCGTAACATTTTAATTTGTCTTTAATGTCTGCTCCTAAAAAGAAACATCATAATTAGAAAACATGAAATTCCACCATTAATAGTTATGCTACTACCATTGCCATTTAAGTCCAACTGTACTTTAAACACAGGTCGGCAGGGGAATGGCCATTTTCTTCTTCCCCTTTGTTCTTTATCTTCCAAATTCTCAAAGGAGATGCTGATAAGTTTTCAAAGCACACACAATCATGGTTCTTTCATGGCTCCACAGCTAACTTTCCCAAAGTTTGAGTAATTGTGCTCCTTAGACCATGTTGGGTACAGCCACTAATCTACTGCTCATAGAAGCTGAAGTATATTTTCAAGTGATGTCAAAATATATAAAAATATTAAGATTATATATATTTGGGCCAACCTAGTCAGATTGGGTTCAGTAATTTCTGAATAACTGAAAACATTATGGATTTCATACCTAGCTTTCAAAGCTAGGTACTTTGGCATAAGATAACATAAGCATCCTAAAAATAAAAACAATAAGCAGAAAGTTTTAACTTGGAACTTGAATATGCTACGAAACACCTCAGTAATTTGTAAAGAACATTTGAGGTGTGCCTGTAAGGGCAGTTCAGGAGGAACAATTCAGAGGGGAGGACCTGTACTGAATGTGGGCAGTGACATCCCTAAGCGAGGGATCCAGACGGGATAAAACGTTGAGAAAGAAAAAAAAAAAAGGCAGCAAACACAGCATTTTCTCCCTCAGCTTCCTAGCTGCCAGAGCAGCTTCCTAGCTGCTCTGTTTCCTCATGCCTTAGACTAGAGCTCCTGAAACTGTGCATCAAAACAAACCTTTTCCGGGTTGTTTCTATCAAGTCATTTCAACACAGTAGCAGAAAGCCTGACAAGGGTCTGCTGGAGCTCAGACCCCTTCCCTCCAAGTCACAGGGGATGCCTACTATTGGTGGTAAGCTTTTTACCCTGGGTCTTCAGAGAGAGAGAGAGAGAGAGAGAGAGAGAGAGAGAGAGAGAGATGTGTGTGTGTGTGTGTGTGTGTGTAAGAAAATGTATATATAAGCTGGGCGGTGGTGGCGCACGCCTTTAATCCCAGCACTCGGGAGGCAGAGGCAGGCAGATCTCTGTGAGTTCGAGACCAGCTTGGGCTACAAGAGCTAGTTCCAGGACAGCCTCCAAAGCCACAGAGAAAGAAAGAAAGAAAGAAAGAAAGGAAGGAAGGAAGGAAGGAAGGAAGGAAGGAAGGAAGGAAGGAAGGAAGGAAGGAAATAGCTCTGCATCCTTAACCCAGACAAGCCTTCCTCCACCAATGATTTGTTTTAATGAATATAGGATGAATGTGAAGTTCAGGTTTCAAGGTCTTG